GAAATACAATATGATCACGTGTCCGGACGGGCTTGTATTTTCGGAGAAGACTGGTATATGCAATTGGCCCGATGAGGCACAAAAAAAGGGCTGCGGATCCAGGGAATTATTTAATTTTACCTGTCCTAAGGTCGACGATTCGATTGCTGCAACACATCCAAGATATCCCGATACCGAGGATTGTCAATATTTTTACGTATGCGTAAACGGTGAAATACCAAGGAGAAGTGGTTGTAAACTTGGACAGGCATTTGACGAACGTACGGGAAAATGCGATTGGGCTAGAAAAATTCCTGAATGGTATGAATATTTCATGAATATTATTTATTTAAATTTGCTTTTTTTTTTCTTTTTTTTTTTTTTAAATAATATCGAACGATAACGATGATTTTTATTTCATTACATTTATATCAATTATTAAGACGTAATAGTTAATTACTTAATGTAAATAATTAATAAAAATTGCGTGAATTAATTCTTCTTCTTTTTCTTTTTTTTTTCTCTTCTTTACGAAAATTTGATTTTTCTTTTTCTTTTTCTTTTTTTTTTTATTTCTTTTTCACAAATACTTCGCCTTACAATTCTTCCTATTCGATTGTATTTAATTTTTTTTTTGAAAATTTTTTCAAAATTTCAGCAAGGACTGGTACAAGGATCAATTGACCGACGAACAATTAGATGCATTAGAAAATCCACCGCCAAAGCCAAAGCCAGCAGCCGGTGGTCAAACTAGAAGGAAAGGATCACGGCCAAACTAATATAATAAACTTTTCTAGTTTTTCATTCTTGAGATATTTTAAAATTCAAATTTGTCATCTTTTAAATAAAACAAATGTCACTTTTCTTAATTATTTATTTATATTCATTTTTTTTCTTGGTTTTTTTATTTTTTTATTTTTTTTTTTTTTTCTTTGATACTAATGACACCATATCGCGCGAGTCGATGAAAATAATCCCAAATGTAATAATTGCACAGTTTTATTTTTTTAATTAATTTATTTTTCTTCTTTCTTCTCTACCAATGACAATTATCACCGTATGTATTCTTTCTATTACGATCAATCCTTATATCGATTAATTATAAAATATTCATTAGAAGTGTGATATATGGAATTAAATAACACAAAACTCACAGATAAATAAGAACAAATTAAATTGGATTTTATTGTTGACATATATAAATTATTTATATACGTCTATATGATATATCGCATTGATCTAATCTAATTAATCATTATTAGTAATGATTAAATGAAAAATCTATTTATTCAGTGTAAACTTTATAAATAGTTAAGTTTTATTATTATATAAATCATAATTACGAATCGATTAATGATATATTAATGATTAATATCAAACGAATATAACTTTCATGAAATTCGTAAATTTTTCATAAGATCTCATTTTTATAACACTTTGTGTCATATTAGAATATTAATTGAATTAGTATGAGAGAGAATTATTATACTTTTTTTTTTGTTTTTTTTTTGTTTTTTTTTTTTTTTTTTTTTTAAAGAAGAAGGTTAAATGTAATTATAATTAATAGATAGATAGGGAAACAATGCGTTACGCAGAAAGAAGAATTTACTCGTAGACCAACGTAAAATAATAATTAGGTGGATGGTGGGAATGAACTCCGGTGAAAGTACATCCTATCTCTGCTATGTCGAAATTATCGGGTGCCGCGATGTTGTATAAAGCAGAAACCTTCGTTTTATGACAGATCGACGGATTGGAAATTCTTAAGAAGATCCATGTACGTTCTTTAGATTTTGAAAACGTATAAATGCAAATTTTAAATTAAATAACGACATTTTTTTTCTTCAAATTTTTTTCTTACCATTTCTTCTTTTACTTTTTATTTCTTTTCTCTTTATTTTTACTTTTCAAATTTTATTCGTTCCTTTTTTTTTTTTTTTTATATTATATAAATATCACCTATACAAATTCATTAATGATTTTGTATGAGATATTTTTGTTTAATCGTTTATCCACAAACATGGGACATTTTTTTTTCTTCACATTTTTTTCTTACCATTTCTTCTTTTACTTTTTATTTCTTTTCTCTTTATTTTTACTTTTCAAATTTTATTCGTTCCTTTTTTTTTTTTTTTTTTTTTATATTATATAAATATCACCTATACAAATTCATTAATGATTTTGTATGAGATATTTTTGTTTAATCGTTTGTCCACAAACATGGGACACGTTTGTTGATACATTATTGAAAATGAGTGCAATTATTAAAAATAAAGAAAAAATAAAAAAATAGAAAAGAAAAGAAAATAATAGTAATAATAATAATAATAATTTTGATACTTCCGTAATAATAATTAATACCGATCGACATGTAAGTTACAGATAAACAGTGAAAGTTTAATAGTTAACTAACCAGCTAAACGTAAGTTCTTCGCAATTCTTTTATAAATAAATGAAAAATCAAATAACAGAAATATCGTAAGCGTCGTTAAAAAATTTTAAACGACTAATGGGGTATGACGAGTGGCAAATAAAGAAAATGTCATATAAAAAGAAATTTTCAAAGGATTTCTTGTCCGAGACGAAAGATGAAGAATAATTCTTACCTTACAGAGATTGAAAATTATACTTTCATCGATTGGAAATTGATTATCTTTCTTGTCTTCTTTTTTTTCTTTTTCTTTTTTTTTTTTTTCAAACAAATGATATATCCATATATTAACAAAAAATATATTCAACGCGTGTACTTTCTTATGTCCGCTTTTTTTTCATATTTCTATTTTTACTTTTTCATTTCATTTTCAATTTTCATTATTAAATATACAATGAAATATATATTCAATAATTAAATATATATATATATATATATATATATATATGTATATATGAATACATTATATAAATTACGTTCATTATTTTTTCATACTTCTATTTTTATTTTTTATTTCATTTTCTTCTTTCATTATTGAACATATATTATTAAAAAAAAAAACAAAAAAAAAAATATATATATATATATATGTACATACACATTATATGTATATTTAAAAATTTATTAATAATATAATTATATAATTTCTGTATATCTATATCATAATCATATATAACCATATTCATAATAGACATTATTACAAATAAACAGATTGATATTTTGTTAGGATTTCGTGTTTCTTTTTTTTTTTCTTTTCTTTTTTTTTCGGTGAAAATCAAATCCATTTTAAAGGAACAAAGTGAGAGTAACGAAGTCGCGCGTGCATGGAAAGAAGAAAGGGAATGGTAAAAGCATGCGGTATTCGATTAATCTTAATTCTTGACGGTTATCCAGCAAAGAAAAGGAATCGTGAAAGCGTGAGGTGGGGGGTGTGGGGTGGAGTGGGATGAACGGAGTGGTGGTAGTAGACGGCGGGGTGGGAGGAGTGGAGCGGGGACGTAGGTAGGTTAAGAAACGACGTACTAAGTGGGGATTGACAGGGTATACCCCCGCGACGAGTAACCGAAGAGCTGCAGTACTTCGCGAAGGAGACGCCATTCTCTAAAGAATCGTCAAAAAATATTATATTTTCTTGTATTTATATATACAAAGGGGACGAAAGAAAGAAAGAAAAAGAAAAAAAAAAAGAAAAAAAAATAGAAAAGAATATAATCGTCAAATATCTCTAATTATATCGCCGTAAATATTATTTCATTTAATAAAAATCGTTTGTTTATATTATTCGATTCGACTATCATTTAGATTTATTTTCAATCGATCGACAACGACAACGGTAAAGACGTTCGCCGGGAAAAAGGAAATAAATAAAAAGTAGAAAAGAAAAGGAAAGATAAAAAACAAAGGAAAGGAACAGAAAAATATAAAAAAAAAAAAGTATGATCCGAGAATGTCTTGCGACGATCCTGGCCGTAGCTGCGGTTGCCCGTGAGTATTTTCCTTTCTATTTTTTCTCTCTTATTAAAATCTTCTTCATCATCATCTTCTTCTTCTTCTTCTTCTTCTTCTTCTTCTTCATCCTCCTCTTACTTGCTTTTTTCTCATTCCATCGGAAACTGTCGAAATGTCGTTAAACGTTTTCTTCAAAAAAAAAAAAAAAAACAACAAAGAAGAAAAAGAAAAAAAAAATAAGAAAAGAAAAGAAAAGTAACGATGAAAGAAAAAAATCATAGAAAAAAGAAATAAATTCACGCGAGTAAATACGTCCTCAATAATAACAACTTAATAATAATAATAATAATAATAATAATAATAATAATAATAATAATAATAATAATAATAATAATAATAATAATAAATACGTATATAGCAACAATCGAACATATGGATATCATCGAGCGTTTTAATTGAATTAATTCAAGAATAATATTTTCATTAATACTGATTAAATTCTCTTTACGTAATTATCGATAATTGTTGACTTTCGAAGATATTTTGTTTGACGATTGGCTTTGAAAAAAGAAAAAAAAAAAAAAGAAAAAAAGAAAAGACATTGAAAAAGAAATATATCATTTTGTCTACGTTAAAATAAAATTTTATTTTATTTTATTAAAATTTAATTTTTTTTTATCGTACGTCGAAAAAAGAAAACCTTGAATTACTTGTAATGGTGGTCCTAAAAAAAAAAAAAAAAAAAAAAAAAAAAAAAAAAAAAAAAAAAAAAAAAAAAAAATCAATTGATTTTAATGAAACATTTTCCTCTTGACAAAATAAAATCTTTACGTACGAATCTTTTTTAATTCTTCGTAGAATTTGAAAAAGACAAAGAAATAGAAAAAAATATAGAAATTCATATCTTATATATATATATATATATATATATATTATATATATTATTATATATATTATATATATTATATATATATTATTATATTATTATATATATTATATATATTATCTTATATATATATATATATATATATATATATTATATATATTATATATATATTATGTATATATATATATATATATATTCGAAGAAAAGATATATAGTTTGTGCATGGAATTACGGAGACAGTCTCGTATTAAACTTTCTAAATTGTAAATGTCAGGATATTTCTATCGGTTCAGATGTTGCATAAGTAATATGCCATGGTTATAATCGTACGTCCTTTATAAACTAGTAAATCGTTTTAAATTATATAATAAAACAAAAATATTATCGGTATTAATCGATATATGTTATAAACTTCCTGAAGAAATTCATGTTGGCGAACCGGCAAGGAAATAGTACAAGGTTCGTCAACCTCAAGAATCGAATGTAACTGTTCGCAAAACCACTTTTGATACTAGTAGCTAAGCGCTTTGTACTTACTTTACTCTCGCTTTCGCGACGACTCATATATAGAACAATCGTAAATAGTTTTAAAACGTTCAAAATATTCTTTATATCTTGAAATCAATTTGATTTCAAGAAAATTTGATTTCAAAGAAATTTTTTACGTTTTTGAAAAATTCTTAATCATATCAAAAAGTGATCTTAATTATTGAGATTGAACGATTACGAATTCATTGTCATGATTATAATTTCAGAATAATTAATTCATTTTTATGAAAATTATAAACAATATTATTGTAAGAGTTTATTATTAAAATTATGTTAAATATTTTCAGACGGTGCGTTCAATTGTCCGAACAAAGATGGTCAATACGAGGATCTAAAACAATGTGACAAATATTACGACTGTTTGGACGGAATACCTACGGAAAAATTATGCCCTGACGGGCTCGTTTTCGATCCGTTAAATCGCAAAGTCAACAAATGCGATCATGTTTTCAACGTCGATTGCGGCGATCGTCTTGAGTTGCGTAAGTTCATCTATTTGTTATTTGCTTATTGATAGGAAAAAAAAAGAAAAAAGAAAAAAAAAGGAAAAGAAAAAGAAAAAAAAAATTCATTAAAATATAAATAATTAATCGTTCGATGGATTTTGTTCGATCAAATAATTATCTGGCAGAGGATATTTTTTTTTGTCTTGATGAATCAAACGATCGTTCCCCTTAACGAAAATTAGAAAGAGTGATTTTCGTTGATTAAATATAAATAAATCATTAGATATTTCATATTTCGTTTTTATATGATCAGTGATTTTGATTGAGATACAATATCGTCTGATTTGTGAGATCAAACGAGATATTAACTTTCGCAAAGTGGAAAGGAGTGGAAACGTGTCTTTCGTTTCCGTGGCTAAAACGTCCTTGACATACAGGCTAAAGTGTCAGTCAATAATTAATAAGCTAACGGAATTAATAACGTTGAGTTTAATATATTCCTGTTTATTTTTTTTTTCTTTTTTGTTTTTTTTCCCTCCCCTCTCCTCTTATCTTTACTTTTTTATTTCTCTACACCATTCCAATTACCACTACAGAACCACCACAACCAACGAAAAAATGTCCACGTAGAAATGGTTTCTTCGCTCATCCAGAACCGTCGGTTTGCAACGTATTTTATAATTGCATCGACGGCGAAGCCATTGAGATAACGTGCACCACAGGATTGCATTTTGACGAGTACAGCGGAACTTGCGTTTGGCCGGACAGTGCCGGACGTGAGGTAAAATAATTATTAAATAATAATTATTATTATTATTATTTGTTTATAATTATTTATTCGTTTTTATTAAATGAATTATTTTACGTTACGTGTTGAAAAAACAAAAACTATCGTTATCGTTATCGTTATCATATATACGATCGGTATACATAAATGATATAAATAATTTATAAGATGTGCTTAATAAAAGTAAAAGTAAAAAAAATTTGATAAAAGTAAATTTTGTCAAATTTATTTTAACTTTTTTTTTTTTTTATGATAAAAGTAAAAGAAAATGACAAAAAGAAAAATAAATAAATAAATAGATAAATAAATAAATAAATAAATAAATAATTCGTACCATTACGAAATTACACGTATACGTTTAAAATATTTATACCAATGATTATTTTTATTGATTTAAACGAGATGAATGTGTTAATTATTGTCTTTTTTTTTTTCTTTAATCTATCTTTTATCTTTCTTTCTCTTTCTCTCTCTCTCTCTCTCTCTCTCTCTCTTTGTATATAGGGATGCGGAGTGGTCGATAAGAAATTGAAGGATGGTTTTGAGTGTCCAAAGGAGAGTCAATTAGATAGCCGAGGTATGGCCATCGATCATCCTAAATTTGCACATCCTGACGATTGTCAAAAGTTTTACGTATGCTTGAATGGGGTGACACCACGTGAACAGGGTTGTAGCGACGGCACTGTTTACAACGAAGAGCAACAGAGGTGTGACGCACCTGAAAACGTTCCCGGATGGTATGTATTTGAGAAAAAAAAAAAAAGAAACAAAAACAAACAAATACATATTAACAATAAATTGGATTGGAGAGATCCAATTCGATTTGACTTTTTTTTTTTTTTTTTTTCACCGACATATATAATTATATCTTACTAATCTTTTTTTTCTTTCTCTCTCTCTCTCTCTCTCTCTCTCTCTCTCTATCATTCTTTTTCTTTTTCTATCTCTCTTTTTCTTTCTATTTTACAGCGAG